TATCCTTTTAGGCTTAGTCCCTTTATTTATCAGGGGTCGCCACAGCAGAATAAACCACCAACTTATACAGCATATTTTTTACGCAGCGGATGCCCTTCCAGCTGCAACCCATCATTGGGAAACACCCGTACACACTCATACACTACAGCCAATTTAGCTAATTTAATTCACCTATAGTGCATGTCTTTGGACTGTAGGGGGAAACCCACGCCAACACGAGGAGAACATGCAAACTCCACACAGAAATGCCAACTGACCCAGCCGGGGCTCAAACCAGCGAACTTCTTGCTGTGAGGCGACAGCCACTGCGCCATCGTGCCGCCCAACTCTTTTACATTTTATTCCTAATTTCTGTTTAATGGAAAGAAGATTTTTAAATTTATTTTATGTTTGCCATGGTGACAGTACACAATGTTTTATTAGTTATTTTACTGGTATCCCACTTATAAGTGCAATTTAAAGGCTTAATTAGGTTAATTAGGCAAGTTAATGTACAGTATAACAATGTTTTTTTCTGTAACCAACTGATGAAAAAAATAATAAATTTTATATATTTCTTAGAAAGTACAATATTATTGAACTTGATTAAAAAAATGAAAAACAGCTTTTAATCCAGCCAAAAAAACACAAAGAAGATTTTATCCAGAAGAAAAAATATAATAGGAAATACTGTGAAAATGTCATTGCTCCGTTAAATATCCCTTGATAAATATCTGAAAAAGAATAACAATACTGTTGCTAGTCAGCACTGAAAGTAGGCTTTTTTTTGCACAATTATTTTCACTATCAAACTGCTGTAATTTTACATGCACTATTTCACTGGATCCGAAAAAAATTACAATTTAAATATTTTATCTCAGAACTTGCATTTGTTCGTTTTTCATGAGTCGCTCAAATAAACATCTACCCAGAAAACAATTAATTAATTTTAGCTCAATTATGTTATATAAGACATAACCTTTACTATATCCAGATTATTTCTGACTGTGTGACCTCTTGACACCAGTTCTTATGTCTATGTGGTAAGTTGTAAACAAATGATCAGCAGCACAAACAAGGGATTTTATTACTATAGTGTGATGACATGAGGCGTGCTCTTGGTTTATGTCTTTTTAAAGGGTCATATGCCATGCCTCTCTTTTCTGCCGGGTCCACATAACCTTAACCAGCTCTCAAGCCTCTAAAGCATGCTGGAACCTTACTCGTATGTCTCAAATTCACCAGCAACTGAAATCACCATGCAAAATGTGGTCATTTCAAACTAAAAGGAGGGACTCATTATTTACAAACCAATCAACATATATGAGCTATTTTTAAAATAGGTTTTACACTTTTATGATGTAAAAACAAACTGAGAAAAGTTTCTTTATGCATTTTTAAAATATATTTAAGCAGAAAGCTGCAGTATATCAAGTATATGCAGTATATCTGAGCAGCTTGTTTCTCATCATTGGACAATGTTAAGTGGCTGTCAAGCTATAAATGTTGCAAAACAACAACAACAACAAAAACCCAAAAGCATATTTCAGCAGTCACATGTTTTTTTCTGCTGTTTGAAACCAGAAATACGGATGCCAGAAAAAACAAAACTTTTTCGATGCAATCTTTCGATGCAATCTAAGTTTTCAAAAAGGTGGGAATATATTTGTAATGCCGTTTAATTTGGACAGTTTGCTTATTTAGTGATTCATTCTCTGATATTTCTCACACCAAAATATTAGCATGAAAACAAAAAGAGAACTGCACAACATATTTACTTACAATCCACTTTAGGAAGCAAATATTGCATTTAATTTGTTAGGAATAAACAACTCAACACTGTTAAAAATGCATGTTTCCACACAATTCATTCATGTTGCCCCAACACAAATCGATCAAGTTAACTATTGTTGTCCCAATGAAATCTCAAGAATTGTGTTGTTTCAACTCATTTTAATTAAGTAGCTTGAAAAAATAAAATAAATTTTTTTTAGAGTGAACTCTGTACCACAATGTGCACACCGCCTTGCATTCTGCCATCAGTTTTGACATACATGTTATTGACCTTATTCTAAAATGCGGAAGTGCGCCTGTTTTCGGGATTGTCTTAGAATTTCCGATTCAGTCGCCTATGGGAGAACTGACTAGGAATAATAAACGGCAGAAAACGGTCAAACTACTTGCTCTACAAACAAATGTTTGCATGATTATACAGACCAAGTAGAATAATATAATAAGAAAATATCAAATTGCAAAATCAAGCAGCGTAACGAGCAGTTTTTAACATCAAAAAATTAATGGAAATGAATGAGACCGGAAGTCTCAAGCCAAAAAGATTCAAATGGTAGCGCCCACACGTCGGCGGAGAATAAGGTGAATAATGAGTAAGATTATTTACTTTTCACCTTTTAAAATATAAAATAAACAATGAAGTAAATGCACACAGACTTTTAATTTCAGCCAGCCAGCCTCAGCACTTCTGGACATTCCTTTATATATTTGCCATGTTTAAGGTCTGTTTACTTTAAAAATCAGGGATCTTCACTGCATGATGGATATACAATATAAAGTGGGTCTCAGACTGGATAAGAGACACTGCATTAAATTCCATTTTGCCCTGCCATGTCTTTAAAATATGAGTTTATTCTACCCCAGTATTTTCAATGGAGTTTCTAAATGAACTAAATGAATGTTTAAGTCTATTTAACTGAATGTACTGTAATTAATTACAACATCAATGCAGTAAAAAAAACCTTATGAAATTGAAAATAGTCACATTAAGCTTCCACCAGAAGGTTATCATTGGGTGCATGAACACTAGCTGTGCATATACCCTACTGAAATACCCTCTATAATATGTTATATAATCACTTTAATGTAATCACTAATAATCACTTCAAAATTTCATTTGTTTTAGACACCAAAATAGGATGACATCTTTGACTTACAGTTAAGGTCAAAATTATTAGCCCCCCCCCCTGTTTATTTTTTTCCCCAATTTCTGTTTAACAGAGAGAACATTTTTCAACACATTTCTAAACATAATAGTTTTAATACCTCATTTCTAATGAATGATTTATTTTATCTTTGCCATGATGACAGTTAGTAATATTTGACTAGATATTTTTCAAGACACTTCTATACAGCTTAAAGTGACATTTAAAGGCTTAACTAGGCTAATTAGGTTAACTAGGCAGGTTAGGGTAATTAGGCAAATTATTATATAATAATTGTTTGTTCTTTAAAATCGAAAAAAAAGTATATATAGCTTAAAGAGGCTAATACTTTTGATCTTAAAATTGTTCTTAAAAAATGCAAAAACTGCTTTTATTCTAGCTGAAATAAAAGAAATAAGACTTTCTCCAGATGAAAAAATATTATAAGAAATACTGTGAAAATTTCCTTGCTCTGTTAAACATCATTTGGAAAATTTAAAAAAAAAAAAAAAAATTAAAAGGCGGGCTTACAATTCTGACTTGAACTGTAAACATTGGGACACTTTTTTAAGTCTAGTATGCATCACTTGTGATAAAAGACTAGAAACAGATATCCCGTATCATAAAATGCAATCAAACGTCATGATGCCACAAACTCCGGATGCACAAAAGGTGTGTTGGTGACTATAAAACGGGTCAAATTCATGTTTGCACCTTCTACACTTCTACAGTCTCCTTTTGCACACATTAAAAGACAGCGGTAGATGGATCGCCAGATCACATGGTTTCACCGGTGAAAGAAACCTAAAACCAACACCTTCTGCGTCCAAGAGCATGTGATGCCCAATACTCGCTCACACACTGACACACACATGCTAAACAACACATCCTCTAACTCAATAAAATGTACAGCAAGCATTTACCATGGCACCATCCTTGTTTCACCAATGATAAACATAGTGATGTCATGGTTTAGCTCTAATCAACAACATACTATCCAGTAATCAACCAGTGTGTGCCACTGTAGGTCAAACTCACAAGGTCCAATCACAAGTTTCCATCTGGCCCTTAGTGATAAAGCTAAAAATGAACATCTTTTTTATTTCTATTAGAAGAAATAGTCCATATTAAACAACATTAAATTTAGTTTGCCTGCACCTCTGAAACAGGGTTAAGTACTTGAGACGTGGTCTATATCCTGCAGATGCGAGAGCATAAAACTGAAGGGGGGTTACACAAAATCCGATCTGAGCACTTCTTATGAGTATCTCGGGACCAACAATCCAAAAGTCTCCATCATCCTACACCTCTGATCAGGGCAACATGGATTAACAGTGGAGGAATGGTGGGGTACAACTGAACACTACGAGCATCACCAGCCGAGCCGTGAAATGAAGACCGAGGCTATATTTAACTCTGACTCCATACACTGTTGGATGGGGGGGAAAGGAGTACAGCTACACAGTCAGCATCTGCTGGAACAATAGACTTGAGAGCATTAGCCGAAAGGAAAAACTTTGAGCTCACATACCTGTATATATACATATAGAGAAGTATGATGGAAAGCAAATAAACAAGAGTGATGAAGTGAAAGAGAAATAATATTGAACATTTACAAAATAGACATGCTTCAACACTAATTTATTGTTATTTAATTTTCATTTATGCAATGTTTTAAAAGAAATACCAATGGCGTGATTTTGAGACTTGGAAAATTGGTCCTTTTTTAATATGGTTGTCATTACATGACAGTATTTGCCAACAGAATGCCATGCTTTACTAGTCAGAATCAAATGTTTTGGATACAAATCTTTCTCACTTAATTTTATGTAAACTGCTGGACATCTTTAAAATTCCAGTGTTCTCACATGTTTTAAATCATGTCAAATCCCAATTTTAAATCCCATTTTTTTCAACATTATACTTTGCAGTCACACTAAAGTCTGTCCAGACATGGTCACCAGCATATTAAATCAACACTGAAATCAAAACCTTTGGGGGCCAAAATGAACATGTAGCTTTCCATATACAGACACAGCATTGCCCTCAAACAACTGACATGCTTGCTCTAGACCACAGCTTTACCTTTAACAGTGAGGTAAATATTTCCACAAAACCTTCAGTCTTTGGTCTTCAGTCTTCCAGCTGAAGTCTGACTCTATAACCCGAGGCCAGCGCGAGCTCCAGGGCAGCTGTTGCTGACGCGTGAACGTCTTGAATGAAACCTGAGATTGAGCCGCAGGTATAGAGAGGATCATCATTGGAAAACTCGCAGTTATGAGGGTCTTGGAAACACGCTTTTTACTTTACCTTTGCTGAGCAGGTGCTTTTCTGGGTTGTTGTATAGTAAAACGATTTCTGTAACGTCTACAGAGAAGGACTTCCCTCAGCGATAAAAAGGAATACAGACGGAATAATAAATAGTAAACTAATAATAAATATTATGTATAAACAGATTGTTTTGCTTAAGTGAATAATTATTTGCTACATAAACCAATGAAACCAGGTAACAGGTATATGATACAACATATATTAAAACAGTTTACGTTCACAACGGCACAAATATTTAAAACCTAGCTAAACGATCTCAGTTCAAACTAGTTTTGTCCGGTTTGATAAAAGGCGCGAAAAATCCCGTTTAGTTTTTCAAAGCAGAAATCGTTTAAAAATTAACTTAAAACTTAAATCATATTAATATAAGTAATGAATTATTAAAATTTAACGAATAAGTGGATTAAAATGTTTTTTATGACATATAAATAAAATTATAAATAAATAAAGTCAAACAATTTCAGCCCCTTTATAATCGCACACAATCATATATTATATTATACTATATTATTTATATAATAAATAATTTTTATAGAACTCTCTCTCTCAATAAATACTTCATTGGCATGAAAAATGCTACAAATGTAGCCTATTGCCAAAGCATTTATAAAGTTTACATTAAAATAAAAGAACATATATAATAAAAACACAGTAAATAGTATTAGTAAAAAAAGATATATACATATAATAAACAAAAATATAAATATAAATAAATATGCATACAATATACATATAATATTAATTTATATCAATAAAAACAATAATAGATTAGAATTTACTGTACATTTAACAATCAACGTTTTAGGATAAAACGGTAATAAAAACAGTAATAATCATCATATTTACAATAATTCAATTACAATAATCTAGGTGTGTGTGTGTGTGTGTGTGTGTGTGTGTGTGTGTGTGTGTAAGTGTGTGTGTGTGTGTGTTTTTTTTTTTGGGGGGGGGGGGGGGGGAGGGGGTGCGTGTGTGTCTCTCTCTCTCTCTCTCTCTCTCTCAGAAACACACTGCCAAACCTTTAAAGTAGATCAGGCTGCTGAAGAGAAATTTAATATACTTGATCACTCATAATGTTGCAGATGCCTCTTGGAAGTAATAACTATCCTCAAATTGCACAACATTTTTTGAAGATAATGCTTTTTTTCTTATTTACAGCAGATTTATACGGTGATTGAGATGAATTAATACACAATGCTCACTAATCAAAATATGTTACTGGGCGGAAAAGAACTCATGTTTTGATGACGTGATGCGTCAAACTGAACACGTAGCGCCATCCTCTGGTGTAAAATATGCAATAAATAAATAAAAAAGAAGTACAATTCGGTTTTACTTTAATTCTGTTCATCATGGCGAAATTATCACAGGTTATACAAATGTGTAAAGGAAGTGAAATTGTGTTTTATTTTAGGTTAACAATAACAGATAATTTAAAAATATTTAAAACCATTTAAGTCATGCTTAAATATCATGTCATCACATCGAATAAAATATCAAGTGAAGTGCTAAAGGAAACGCCTTTAAATAAATGCCTACTACTATGCCACAGCTGACCAACAAACTAAATCCACACTCTGCTAGATACTATTATATTGATTCACTTTTATGTGATCACAATAATAATTAATTAACAACAACAAGACGAATAAGATGAAAATAAATGAATAAAGTCAAACGTGATATATAAAAACATTCACACAATTATCATTACAGTGCTTTAAAAAAACAGCAAGCTGAAGTGCAAATGAAAACATGTTCTCAAATTTATGCAATAAAGTCTTGAGTTGCCATGTGGAAAGTGTTGATGTCGGTTCGGGACTTGTATTTCTCTATCTCTTTCCGTATTTCATTTTGGACCTGTGAAAGCCATTCATAAAATATAGTCATCAAATATTTCTTTATATTTTCACATGAAATCCAATAAAATTAAAATGATAAATAATGCTGTTACCTCACTGTTCAAGAAGCAGTATAACAACGCCACAATGAAACCCTTCAGAGAAATCCCAAAGTTAATATTTTGAAGTTTAAAAGAGCTAAATTGAGGTATTTGTTGAGACGTTATAAATGTTTTTGTGAAACTGGCTTGTGTTTTTAAGGTATATTTACAATAGAAGGCACAGAATCCCTTATCAGGCTCCAAAGAAGCATCTTTTAAATGAAAAAAAAAACACCCACAAGAACTTCTTTAATATTCATCCATTTCATTTCAGCTTCCTTAGGCTTAGTCCCTTTATTCATCAGGGGTTGACAGCGGAATGAGCCGCCAACTTAACCAGCAAATGTTTTACATAGCAGAGTTCCTTCCAGCTGCAACCCAGTACTGGGAAACACCCATACACACTCATTTGCACACATACACTATGGCCAGTTTGGTTTATTCAATTTACCTGTCTTTGGACTGTGGAGGAAACCCACGCCAACATGAGGAGAACATGCACACTCCACACAGAAATGCCAACTGACCTAGCCAGCAACCTTCTTGCCGTGAGGCCACAGTGCAAACCACTGTGTCATCCCTTTCTTCAATATTAAAAATAATTTATGAAACAATGGTCCTAGATATAAATTAAACAGGACTGATTGATAATCCTAACAATATACTGTGGTCTAATGAAGTGAAGTCATTATATAGTGCAAATGGCATTAAGCACATTCACAACAATGTGGAAAAACCTTTAATGTGTCGCTCAAGAAAAAAAGGGTGAGTAAAACTACAACAGATATTCATTTTTAGGAGAACTAATGCTTTTTAGTTTTTTCATCTCTCTAACTAAGGGACAACATGAGCAAAGAAAGCTTATTAAAGTCACAGCTACTCATTTAAATCATACTTGATATTTGTTTTTACTGTAGGTCTGAGTACAGTATAGTCAGCACAACATTGCAAATACCTGGAAGGAGCCCAGCACAAGTTCAAAGAAGAGTCTCGCCTCTAGGCCAACATGTTCAGGAAACAAAGCAAATACAATGTAGTGCACTCCGAAAAGAGGGATTAGCAGAAGAGTTGATTTGGCCAGTCGTCTGCAGAACACATTAGAGTAATAAAAGGAATATTAGAAAAAACTAATCAAGAATAAACATACCGTGTGAAGGTATCTTGTGTAGGTTTAATAACTCATTAGATCTCACCTGTAAAATCGCTTGTCTCCTCCATTTGAGTCAGGGGTTTTTGTTTTTACAATTATAATCCTGCTTATATTAATGAACATCAGAAAGTTCACCTGTAAAATGTAAAAGTACAACAGTGTGTAAGAATATATATGTTCAGCAATATATACAGTTAAAGTCAGTATTATTAGCCCCCCTTTGAGTTATTATTATTTTTTATATTTCCCAAATGATGTTTAACAGAGCAAGGAAATTTTCAGAGTGTGTCTGATAATTTTTTTTCTTCTGGAGAAAGTCTTATTTTTTTTATTTCGACTAGAATAAAAGCAGTTTTAAATATTTAAACACCATTTAAAGGACAAATTTATTAGCCTCTTTAGGCAAATTTTTTTCGATAGTCTACAGAACAAACCATCGTTATACAATAATTTGCCTAATTACCCAAACCTGCCCAGTTAACCTACATTAATTAACCTAGTTAAGCCTTTAAATTCCACTATAAGCTGTATAGAAGTGTCTTAAAAAATATCTAGTCAAATATTATTTACTGTCATCATGGCAAGGATAAAATATTCAGTTATTAGAGATGAGTCATTAAAACTATTATGTTTAGAAATGTGTTGAAAAAATCTTCTCTCTGTTAAACAGAAACTAGAGGAAAAAATAAACAGGGCGGCTAATAATTCAGGGAGGCTAATAATTGTGTAAAACATATGCTGGATCAGTTGGCAGTTCATTCCGCTGTGATGACCCCTGATGAATAAAGGGAAGCCGAAGGAAATTGAAAATGAATTATCCTTCAAATGACCTTGGATGAAATCATGTTGCAGAAAATATTCAAATTAGCATCATAGGACAACTTAACATCCGAATCATAAAGACTTACCAATACAGAAAGCAAAATGGGAATTTTGATGATCCACCAAAAGCCACTGTCCAGGTCATCCCAGCACCTACCAACACAAATACATGGCCATTCACGATACAGATCACCTACACAGTATTTACCCAAATACTCTCCACACAAATATCTCATCCTCACCCATAATCGTCATATGAATATTTGAGGAACGTCCAGATTGTTACTGTGACAGATGGAGTCCCTGTAAAACAGAGAAGATAATTTACCAACTTACAAAATAAGTTACGCTGTTAACAATTTCTTGAAGAATCTACAGTAATTTACTGGCAGCAGTTCATAAGTAACTTATTGCAAATTAATCACAGCAAAAACAAAAACAACAATAAAAACTGTTTACATGCAGCACAATTTATCTTGCTGTATGTGTTTAAATAATTGTAAATCTTTTCTGTAAAATATGCATTAATGTTCACTATGCAATTTTAAAATACTTGTAACTGCATTACAACAGATTACTGTGTAATTTACAAAAATCATTAACAGTGTATATAATCAGCAGTTTATGTGTAAAATCAACTTCTTTTAAGATCAAATGTGATTTTACCCCAGCCAACAAGTGTATAGCACCAGAAAAATGTTCTTTTGTGGGCGAAGGTGAACGTAAGCAGTGTCTGAAGGTAAAGTCCCTCAACAAGCAGCCAGTAGAAGTTTGATAACACGCAGTATTGGAAGAAAGTCACCGATGCCTTGCACAAAACCTGAAAGAAGAAACAACTATTTACAACAGGGGTCACCACACTTAGTCCAGGAGGGCGTCCTGCAGGCATTATATATTACATGTCAGATTATGCTATTAATATTGAAGTTAAATGTTTTTTTTTTTAACTTTAGGGTTAGGGATTTGGGTGGGTA